AGGTTGGGTGGGAGACATTAATGGGCATGTACTCCTTTTAGCATCGGATGAATTTAGGGCCACACAAACAGAACAATCCTTTAGGTTTATACAGATGATGTGCTGTTTATATGTTCAGTATGCTGCAGGAAACAAGTCAGAGAAACAACTGATTGTACTCATAGAATTTTTTTGCCTCCAAATTCTTAACATTCTTTGAGGTTGCCATTGAACCAGCTGAAATAAAAGTGACAGTGAAGCTTTAAGCATGTTCCTTTCTTTGTGAGATATGGGAGTGAAAAATCATAATGGCTGTTCTTTTTCTTCCACCCCCTTCTTATTAAAAAAAAAAAATAACAAGAAAGCCTGAATATACAAACAGACTTATGTACACTTTTTCAGGCCGGCTGAGGTTTGGGCTTCTTCCACACAGGCTGATAAATGTGCCGTGCGTTTCTCTACCCTTACAGTGTGTTTTTGGACTGGAACTTTCAGCACGGCCCATTAGGTTGTACTTGGCGCTTGATGGACAAGGATAAGCGGGTTGGTCCGGGCCATTCCCTCAATGTTCAGAATGAACAGGTTCCAGTTCTCTGATCTCAGCTGGTGGGCAAGTCCTTGGATCAACAGCACAGAAATTGCTGGAGTGGTAAATAACATCGAGGACAGGGCAAGATATACAGAGAGCAAATTGGATCGCTTGGTCAGCTGGGCCCTGTTCCAGCAACATCCATTTTAATGCAGCCCAATGCAAGGTCATATCTCTAGGAATATAAAATATCAGCCAGAGCTATAGAACAGGCATCTGTGCCCTGGAAAGCAGGGCTGACCAGAGATCCTCAGAGTATGCAAATTTATTTAGTAAGGCATGCAGCAACAGGGGCTAATGCTGAAGAGTGGGGTACAGAGGTAAAGATATTGGTCAATAAATTGGTAGGTGTTGTTTTAGTTCTCGTGTCTCTACTCTCTCTGTCTCTCTGGATGCTGTCGCGGTGAGGTTGGCTGCCATCATGGCATGTCTCCGCCTATATTTTCATGTTTGGATAAGGTGTTTTTTTTTGGGGGGGGGTTAAGGCCCAGCCGGTGTATGCATCCAAGAAATATGTCTTCTTCCTCTTCCACATTTACCCTTGATCTTCTCTTCAATGATGTATTGTGGTATTATGTTTTATGTGATGAATTGCGACTCCAGGATATGAGAGCTTGCTTTTCATAATAATCAACTCTATTTCTTTTTGTTTTCCTGTCCAATGAACTGCTTCTTCATTCTTTTATCCTAGTAATCTATAGGATCTGAAGAAATCATCTACAGGTCCACGTTTCCAAAGCATTTATTTTATTGAGCATCTCCTCCTCAGTAGTCATAATTTTTATCTCCAGATAGAAGAGTTGATCCTATATACTGTATAACACTTAACATCCTCAGTCTCAAAGATATATTAAGCGGTTCATTACACAACATTTTATTCAACTTCATAAAAACTGTTTGAGCTATCTAAATTCTTAGCTTTATATCTGTAGAAATATTTCTGGTTTAGGCAGAATGAGGCAACTATTTTAGGGGGCAGATTTTGATTAACATGAAAGGGCAGCAATTTGTTAATTATCCATTTTTTTGTTACTTTTTCCTGCCAGAAATGAAGGAGAAGTGTTTGTGTGATTTTCTGCCTTGTATGCCAAATGACCAGTTTGGGGTACTTTATAACTTGACTTTGATGAGTGGGTGGTGGATAGCATTTGCTGGTCAACCTCAGATAGCAAAATGCCTTGGGCTAGACCTAAACATTTGAGTGACCATTGTTGTTGCTTTAAAATAATGGCCAGGATCCTATTACTTGTACCAGCCACCATAGGTCCAATAGCATGAATCTCAGCAGTGAGTTGCCATGAATTAATAAGTGGTGGCTGTATTTGTTGTTGCATACCAATTCTTGTTGCACAACAATTTGCCACTGAAATATACTTTGCTGAACTTAATGCTGGTGTAAATATTCAGCTGGATTGTGGTTGATATTCTAAAATCTGCTTCCCCCAGCAGAGTGACTATAAGAATGATTAGAGGATTGATGGAGAAAAAAACTTTAATGAGAATCCAAACACTTCTGAAAAGCAAAATGAAACAATCATTTAATATGTACTTTCTTGATGCAAATACATTTCAAGACCATAGACTCAGTCCAGGAGCTGACATGGAGCCAACTTAAATACTATTGGTAGCATGAGCACAAAGCAGAACACCTTGCCCTACTGTTAGCAAATCTTTCTTCTTCCACCTGTTTTGATATTTAATACAATTACTAAACAAAGAATACTTCCATGCACATAGCCTGCATATAAATTGTCACACACATAATCACCCAGTTATGTTTCTCTACATATATGTTATTGTTGTTATGTTACATCTGGTTGGAACCAACTTACAGCAACCTTAATAGGGCTTTCAAGCTAAGTGAGAAATTTAAGGGGTGGTTTTACAGTTCCACCCAGTCAGATTCCATGATGAAGCAGGGGATTCAATCCCAGGCCTTCTGAGTCATGATCCATCATTCTATCCACTATAACACTGGGTATCCCACATATGTAGTATGTGCATAATTGGAAACTGCAGTCAGTGTCAGGTTTCCAGCATGTGTTCAAACAGAGAAATGCACAAGTGTGAATTTTTTCATGTTAAAATTGTGTGTAATGATCTACACAGCCTCAACTAAAGTCTATTTAAAATATGCCTTCAAAATCAGAATATTATCATGTCTGAGGTGTGGCTTTAAGGAAGAGACACAATTGCAAGTTAATTATGGAAAGATATTGATGTGAACATAAGGAATTAGATGACATATTATTAAGTGTATGCATCTAAATGTTACTGGATTGATTCTTCATTACTTGCATATTTCCTAAGAACACTAAAACTTGAAAAAATGAAGGTTTCTAAGTGTTCAGATCAAATGAAGAAGTCTGTCTGTAGTTTCCCATAAACATATTTATTTGAAATTCCACTTAATGAACTAATTTTAAAGAGGTATCTGAAAGTGTCCCAAGTCATGAGATACTGAATAGGTTAAGTTTTACAGTGAATCTAACAATACAGAGATGTCAAAGATGGGCTAGGTAGCCTTAAATATTTTTTTCTGGGGTTAAGGATACTGATTGTGCTATCTTGTGCTAAGAGTCAACAGTGGAGAAAGATCTCATATTGATTAAGCATTTTGGTTGCTCATCTTGTGGAAATATATATATATTGTGTGTGTGTGTGTTCTGTGCTGTTAAGTCAGAACCGACTTCTAATGACCCTAATAGGGCTTTCAAGGTAAGTGAGATATTTGAGTGGTTTTACCAGTTCCATTTCTACAATGTGTTTACATGGCCAAGTGGGGATTTGAACTGTGTTCTCCATAGTCCTAGTCCATCACTCTATTCACTACATGACGCTGGGAATGCTGAAATATTTTTGACCAATGTAATTATGAGGAATTAAATGAAAATATTTATTTATGCATATTTGCAAACAAAAAACCAACAAGCCCAAAACAAATGGAAGGTTTATTTGAAGCTTCATGGTCTCTTGAACATTCATATCTCATACTGCTAGTAGTTAATGTGGATTAATGATAAACCTCTACTGGAAGATGTATCTTGGATATCTTTTAGAATTTTGAATCTTCCAGTCTATAGTATATGGAAAAGGTGTTACAGCAAGGGATTTTGCAGTGGTCGTATTTGTTAGTGACTCCTAAACTCACGTCACAAACAAAAGTCAACACCTGCTCATGGACATGCAAAGAACATGGAAGGGCTTAGCTGACATTGGCTGGGCTGCTTAGATGTCACAAGGAGGCCAGGAAGTATGATCTATGTTTTATCAGGAATAGAAGGTGACATGGGTTTTGGAGAAGAGGAATCAATGGACTGAGAGACTAGTAGGTCGAAAAGAAATGAAATGAAATTGAAAGGGGTGTTAAGGAATAAATGATTGATCATGGGAAAGGAATTTATCAAAAGGACTAAATGAAATGGGTAAGAGAAATGAGAGACAGTAGGCAGAAGAAATTGTTGAACATGTATAAGAATTGCAGAGGCAAAGTACAGTATTGTGTTTAGAATAACCATCTTAGTTTGCAGACTCTTAACTCATTCTATATTGAGTGAGTAGTGCATATTTTCAGAGGCTACACAGTGAAAATATGTGTAGTAGATACCTCTGCAATTATTAATTACTGCAATATGTTTGCTTTATAAGACTTGTATATGTCAATTTTACAGATTTAAATAACACTTTGAAACTAAATGGTTGGGTGGGTGGATGTGCGTGTGGATGTAGGTGTAAGTAAAATTTATCTTTTATGAAACAGTGGTTTTCCCGATCTGTTCCACTATCTGCAGGAAACTTGTGGCCCCATTCATTTTTGGGGAACCAGTTTAGATAGTATCAGTGGACACATTGAATCAAATACTTCTATTATGTTTTAATTTTCAGGTTGGATTTTGGAGCAACAAGCACTTATACTGTTTCCAGTGGTACAGTTAGATCTGGCGAGATGCAAAAGAAGATGGGACTTTTCCTCTTTTAACATTGTGTGGAAGGTAGAATTTCAGCAGAATGTAGCTTGCACCCCTCTTTTACATCTAGACACTCTAGGGTGCAGCTCTCTAGATGTTACCCACCCTTAGATGCAAGCTAAGCTGCTGAAATTTCATTTTCTGTACACTATAGTTTGAGAATTACAGTCCAAAAACCATTAGAGTGCCATATTTTGTCCCACTCCACCAGTGACAGAGCTCCTGCATTTTTCATAGTTTTGTAGAAGAAGAGATTTACATGGATATAGCATGTCATCCCTCTTCTCTGCAGCTATGATGGACACGGGAGCCCTGTCCTTTGGTAAGAGTGCGGGTGGAGGTAGCGAACATGCAATGTTGTCTTTTATATCTGGCCACCTTAGCAGATACTGCCACTTTGAGAACACTATTCTCTTCTTTCCGGTATGCATGGCTCTAGAATTTCTTTCTTTCTTTTCTTCCAGTGTGAGAAACTGGAGCTGGCAAAAGGACCCTGATGGCTTTCCTTTGCAGCACAAAGTGCTTGTAGTTACACCAGATTGCTTGACATCTGCTAGACGTGACACTGTCTTCTGGTACTCCAGGTAAGAATCCTCCACCTGACAGCAAGAGATCTTTGAAAATAGTTGCACTTAGAATGCAAGGATTTATCCTGGAGAGGGCAGAAATTTGACAGTGGCTTTGGGGAGTTTGAGTAAAGGTCCACACTTTCACACACAGTACTAAGTCCTAGAAACTTTTGGAGGAAACAGCCACCCAACCCTTGGGAAAAAGTTTGGCCTCTCAGTGTTGGTACCAAGCTCTTACTGTAAAGAAGTGGGATTTGGAGGATGTGCTGCAAAGAACAGAGTATGCCTTAAAGAGGTAAAGGTTCCCCTTGACATTTTAGTCAGTCGTGTTCGACTCTAGGGAGCGGTGCTCATCCCCGTTTCCAAGCCGTAGAGCCAGCGTTTGTCCGAAGACAGTTTCCGTTGTCACGTGGCCAGCACGGCGATACACGGACTGCTGTTTACCTTCCCACCAAGATGGTACCTATTTATCTACTCGCATTTACATGCTTTCGAACTTCTAGGATGGCGAGGAGCTGGGACAAAGCGACAGGAGCTCACTCGGTCGCGTGGATTCGATCTTATGACTGCTGGTCTTCTGACCCTACAGCACACAAAGGCTTCTGCGGTTTAGCCCGCAGCGCCACCACATCCCTGGAGAGTATACCTTAGTAAAACACAAATGCTTGGTTAAACTTTGGAGAGTCCCCAGAATTTAATTTGGCAAATATCCACTTGCTATAAACTAGCACAGCTAGGAATGGCTTGTGGTGCATGAATGCCAAGAAAAGTCAACACCTGCCTATCTACTTACTGTCATATTATCTTTATAGAATACTGTTTGTGCAACATTCATTTTTTTGTTTCTTTTCCCATATTATTTGTTTTTGTTTCTGTCTTGTGATGTTACTTTCAGTGTCACATTAAAGAATCAATTTTATGTGCTACCTTAACTTTTTAGAATAATTATTCATCCTGTGGATGCTGGCAGAGAGAAGTATAGTACAGGAATTCCCAAACAGAAGGTTCTCTGATGTTTCATGTACATTTCCAGGTCAATTCAAGAATAGAAGTCAAATAGTAGGCAAGTGCCTACAGGTAAAAAAAAATGGAGATGTGTCTTTCTACACATTCTTCATTAGTGACTTGAGCTATATGCTTTGTAGGTCACCGAAGGACTGGACTGGGGGTGGGGTGGGGAATAAACCATTGTAACTGATTTGGGGAGGAAAGGAAATGTTGAGATGGGGAGAAACACCAAAACAGAGAGAAGGTAAAGTGATACCTATCTTCTAGCCTTTGGCCATATGATGATTTTTTTATACTACGGTATGGGAATTGCGAATTATATTTCTCTTCTTCAATCAACTTGGCTGACTGTAGCTGACGGTTATGTCTTCCATTGGTCTTTGTCTTGTGCACCTTTAATAACTCAAGGGTTGCTTTACAGATCTGAACAGTCCACACCTGTAATGTGCCAATTAGTGAGAGGAAATGTCTCTCTTTTGCAACTTCTATTTCAAAATTATCTTTCTGTCATGTGTTAACATAACAGACTTCCAATCACTGTTATGGATCATAGTGTCCATCTGTTCTCTCCTTTTTTAGCTACTTTAGACCAACACAAGTATCTAAAACATTTATATGAGAAAAATATCTGTGGGAGAATCAAAGTCTTATTTTTCCCTCACTCCTATCTGATGGAGAAGATGCTGCTGCTAATTATGTAATATTTCTATCCATTTTGTGTGTGTGTGTGTGTGTGTGTGTGTGTGCGCGCGCGCGCTTGGTGACTAGCAGCTAGATCTGTTTTACGCTGAATTTAGACTGGCTCAGTGCTATCTACTTACACAGAATCTTGCAAAAAATTGTAGAGGTAAATTCTAAGTAGAATGCGATGTTGTTTGGACACAATGTTCTATATTGAATTTCTGCATGAAACTCCTGTGCTTCAATTACATGGCACCCTTTAGTATGAACTAATTCCAGAGGGAATTTTCTGCCTGCCCACCCACCAGCATGTCTCACTTGCATACATTACACGAAGGGCAAAACTGGACATGATGTTTGACATTGTATAACTGATCCTTAAAACCTTTTGAGGTGATGGTGGGGTTAAGAGCACTTTTGCCCAGAAATACTAGGGATTGAACCTGAGATGTTCTGTAAATCTAATGGGTTCTGCATACTTGAGTATGGTCCCTCCACCTTAATAACATCTGATCTTCACCTATATCTTATAAGAAGTTTGGAAATATTGCTTTAGGAGGTTTGAAATTAAAACAAGGGCTATGGGCTCACTTTGAATTCTTTTGCTTGAGTGGTTGTCTCTGTGACTTACTGTAAAAGCAAAGTAGATTGACAGGTTAAATCACATAGGGGAAAGATTACTTAAAATTGTTTATTTAAATCAAAGCGAGACAACTTTGGTGGGGTCTGGGAGCCAATTCTGCCCACACACCTTGGGACTGGCTACGCTCTAACTCTTTCTGACATGCCACTAAATTTTGGAAGCAAACAAAACAAAAAACAAACACAAAAACCACATTGTTAAAACATGTAGAAAATGCTTACTTTAAAGGAGTTTGTCAGTTTGTTTCCGAGTTTTGGCAGCACATTGTGGATGTAAGCCCTTTAAAAACAACTTTGGAGCTGCATGTAGCCCATGGGTTTGCCCCTGATCTAAACTGAGCTTCCCAAATTGAAATGTATAATTTCTTGAATAGTGGCAGTCCCGGTTTTTCTTGTCTCTACTGGAACAATTCACTGCCTAGAACACTGTGGTGAAAATGACCCGCCACCTTTCCCACTTCTTGATATTAGGTATGCATATGTCTTCTGTACCCTGAAACACACTCTGAACTCTTAGGTTAAGAGTGTGGGCTTAGTATCTTCCCATCTGATAGTGCTGCCACCATCTTTGCCCCATTGTCTGTAACAAACTGACCTTGCCTTTCTGTAACTAGATTCCACTGCTGCAGTATGTCCCTCAGAGCTTCTAGAACAGCAATGGCGAACCTATGGCATGTGTGCTACAGCTGGCACGCAGAGCCCTTTCTGCCGGCACGTGAGCCACAGGTTGCTAGATCGCTACTCCCCGCGCCCTCCCCTACGCTCAGCCAAACTTCAGGAGCCGACTGCAGCTAGTGCTGGCAGCGGAAAGGGCTTGAGGCACCTCCCTGCTGGGATTCCGCCTTCTGCTGCCACGTCCAGGTCCTCTGGGTCTGCCGCTGTGATTCCCTCTTCTGCTGCCACGTCCAGGTCTGCCACCGCAATTCCCCCTTCCACTGACACTTCTGGTTACGGTTCCCCAGGTCCGGGTCTGCTGCTGCCACTATTGTGGCAGCGGCACATCGCCTGCTATTTCTCTCCCCCCCTCCCCCAGTTTGGGCACGTGAGCCCAAAATGGTTCGCCACCACTGCTCTAGAATGTAGTGAGCTGTGTGACTGCCCTCCATCACAGCCACATTCAACTGGGCCCACCTGTATCCTGCCCTTATGTGTTGCTTTAATTCCTAGTGCCTCCGCTTCCACTAGTGTCCTGTCAGGGAGAGATAGGCATGTTTTGCACCTGGGCTGCTCCAGATGTCACTTGTGAAATGTACCAATTCTGCCCTGGCCTCATGCTAGTGTACCAGTTGCCTGACACCCCAGTATAAATCAGGCTCCACTCAGTGGCTAAGGGTCATTTGATAATGGGGTGCCAATTCTGCCATAAACATACAGTAACCAGTGTTCTCCACCAGAGGGAATGACTGGGCTATCACCTTCCTTAGGTGACAGGTAATCCTTCATTCTTACATTTGCAGAAGGCTTTTTCCTGCACCCCTCCAAGCTGCTCCCAGGTAGCCTGAATTTTATTCTTGAGAAGCAAGTCTGCCATTTGCTGCCTCCCACCTCTAGCCTTTTACCCATCCACTTCCCTGCTTTCCTGGACTGTTGGTTTAACTTCTGCCCTCTGATGACTCTTAACCTTCACAATAAGGAAGCCACTTGCCCCCATAGTACCCACTTCATGTGCCAGCAGCAATGCCCTGTGCTGAGTCTTCAGGTGGCTGAGGATGGTCTTCTTCGTGGCCTCTGTGAATTCCACCCTGGGTGATTTGCGCCTGCGCGGAGCCTCATCGGAAGATTCTAGAGTGTCTGCAGTAGCAATGAACACATTAGAATGTGCCCCTCCCCACCCGTATAAGTACCTTGGCGCCAAACGTCCCCTTTCAGTTTTTTTCAACCGCCGCGTTGAGAGCCTCATAATTCTGCTTTTGTGAGTAAAAAAGAAATAGAGATTATTCTTGATTCCTTCCCGTTATCAATCTTTTTCTTTTAAACTATTAGATCAAACTCTCTCTCATCAGAGATTTTTCCTTTCCCCTCGCTTGGCCTCCGGCTGCAGACACCCCCCCCCAATCATTGGTTTTTCTCATTATTTTCTCCTATTCATGGCCCCTTTGGGCCCGTTTAAGCACTGCATTGTCTGTGATAATAAGATCCCACTTTCCAACAAGACACATTATGTGCCTTTTCTGTTTGGGAGAACAACATGAAACTTCCTCCAGTACCCATTGCAAAAATTTTAAGCAAAGAGTTCTTCGATCTTGCCTCTTGAGGCTAAAACTCTGACTTTGGGAACAATCCTTACAACCCGTTCAAATGGCCCAACCTCCATGTAGGGCCACTTCCTAAACCAAAGTACAATAATGGAAAAAGCCATTACTGAATCATCGAAACAATGTCTATTGGTTACACCAGCTCATTCCAATTCTCCATCTGCATCGTCTGAGACCTCGAAGACACACAAATTGAAACTCTCCATACCAAAGTCCTCAACTTCGAAGACAACCTACTGAAGCTGCTCCAGCTCCGGAGCCTGTTGCTCCTAAATGAGCCAAACAGTCTAAGCCTACAGACATCCCACCACAACTCTCTGAATCAATTTCAGTAGGATCTCTCTCAGATGATGACAGACTTCCGTCTCATCCCTGTTTTCATTCTCCAGAGTGGGATGATAGGGTCGACCGACTAATGTCCTCTCCTCC